ATGTAAAATTTAGATTCAAAGCACATCTGTATATGTGTTGTATTTTTTCCCTCAATTTCCTTTGTTTGTAATAGTTCAGATGGTATCATGGGGTGTTCATGAAAATAAAGGATATTTGTTCGTGTTCAAAATGATTAGGATATGTCCCCTGTGTTTTCCGTGCTCCTGTGGGATTTGCGTGAATACAGGTTGATAATATTTTGCAAAACATCACAAGCTCTCATTTCCGTCTTGTCCACTTAAAACCGTGGTTATGTTCCCTGCATCTTTACGAGTCGCGTGATTAAGCAAGTCAAGCACCTTCAGACCAAAGGTAACTCGCTTAACACACCTCTAATGTTATCTTCTTTCCTTCTTTCCTTTTTTTAGAAATCATAACAGTTACCTCTGAGAATGACAATGCATTGTGTATATGCATGTGCATTATGATCAAAGGAGTGTTGAAATATTTTATGTATAGGCGTGTTGACTTGGGGGTAGAGTAAAAAAAAATTAACTGTTTTACCAACATTTTTCTCGCAACTTTTGTCTGAATCGTACCGCAAGGTTTCTCGTCTTATTTGACCTAAATTAATGATATGATATGAATCTTTATTGCATATGCCTGTCTATATGGACTAAATGTGACCATATGTGGTCTAGAGCATGTACAGAACAGTTAAACACTAACAATACTACATTCTAACGCTAAATATTAAAATTCTATCTATTAAGTTTAAACTGTGTACTACTGTTTATCTACTAATAACCATTGTTTCTTCTCTCTCCTTGAAACACATAGTAACATACCAACATACTATATGTTTATTCTTGCATGACATTAGGTATGTGAAGGTGTCCTGCTTTGACATTTTCTTGTATTTCTTGTCTAATTCCTTCTACAAGCTTTTTTCTCGTAATTACCTTCGCCAAGAAGGTTATGTTTTAAGAGGCGTTCGTGTATGTGTGTGTGTGTGTGTGTGTGTGTGTGTGTGTGTGTGTGTGTGTGTGTGTGTGTGTGTGTGTGTGTGTGTGTGTGTGTGTGTGTGTGTGTGCCGCCCGTCCGTCTGTGGACACGATAACTTAAGAAGGCTTAAATGGATTGTTTTCATACTTGGTAGGTGGGTAGGTCTTGATGTGACCTCAACATGATTAGATTTTGGACCCCCTAGCGGCTTGTTATGGTAATGCAGCTGAACTTCCGGTTTTGATATCTCATGATCTAGACATGCTAGTTACCACATGCGGCGCTACCATGTGACTAGTATGATATGACCGACTGACCCTTGACATTTCTGCACATTTTGACCTTATGTTCCCCCTTCCCCAACCCCAAAAAATAGCCCCAAGGCGAGCCTAGAATTCCTGACTTGACACTGACTTTGGTATCCGAGCAACGGGGCAGAATTTAGGCCACAGCAAGTCATTTTCATGGATGACATCAGAGCACGCATTCATTTTCGCCCGATTATGAAAAAAAAATTGTTGCCCTCTGACAGTGGTCAACATGCCGAAAATGGGCAAAGATGTCTGTTGACATGCCGGAACGTGGATGGCAGATAACTATGAAGAGAGGAGACAAGACAAGGCTCTGCTTCAATGTTTTGTATTTTACTTTGATGCAGTGAAGTATTTCATTCCTTTTATATGTGGTGGTGGCTGTGCATATGTGATGTTCCCACTGAATCAAAGCCATTTGTACATACAATGATTGAAAACTTTTATTTTTCAAAGTTGTTGCAGTGAAATGGATGTTCTAATACTAGTAGTCGGCAGTAAACTTAGCACAATATTTTATCAGTATCATTTCTTGTTTAACAAGGTTTATGAATGTCAAAATTTTAACATGTAGGAATCTTGTTTTTTTGCCCTCTCGCATTAGATTTAGAGACTGCAGAGGATATCATCCATACAATTTACTTGCTGTGGCCTTAGGGGACTTGACACAACAGGTGTACGGGACAGGGACGTGCCCGAAGCTGCCATGGGCCGTCCTATCTATAGCTTCTCCCGTTTATTCCTGACACACACCGCCCCCAGACTGACTCCTATGCGTGCACATGTCTCTGTCGGCCCTTTTCATGGTTCCAACAAACCAGTTTTCACTAGTATATTCCGGTCTATACCAATCTGACTTGTCAGAAAGGATGTATACTTTCATATATGAAATCCCCGTGCTTTAGATGGTTAGCTCTGCTACGTGGCAAAATAAACGAATATATATTTCATTTTATCTTTGGTTTCAATTCAAACACAAGACTTCATGATGTCAGCATGTGTTATAGCTGTCCTGAGGAGGCCATATTCTATCTGAAACAAGCTCTGAAAAAAGGGATTCTATTTTTAACGCATTCAAGTTCACACTAGCATGAACTTGCTTTGTCTACCAGGGATTCTATAGACAAACTATACCCTTGTCTTTCAGATATCTGGATTGAACTTCTAGACCGAGAGAAAAGTAAGTTGATCACTGTTTATATATTTGCAGAAATACATTATTACATTAATGCTAACGCCTTGTCCATTTATGTTTTCCTCTTGAATATGCTCGTATTCGTAAAATAACAGTTTGCTCCAGCTGTGAATTACCACTTATCTTATTTTCCAATAACTATAAATTCTATCAATCCTGTCAGTATTTATATATCTGTTTCACTTGTTTATTGATGAATTATTGCATTCAACTTCTATATGAAAACTCGTGCTTTGCTTGCCTGTATTACGTATTTTCTGGTGGCGACATGACTATGAGTGTAACTTGAGTGTGTCGCCACCATGTCTTGTCATTGTATGTTTTAATAAGAAAAAAAAACTGTAAATGTTAAAGTTCTTGTCCATGTGGTGGGTTTCAAGTGAAGAGTTGTATAAATGATAGATGATAGTCATATTGAGAGGTACAGCACTTAAATGTAATGGTCATAGATTGGTCGTAAATCTTATCGTGTTGACGATTGATTTATATGCATTTTATGTAGCTTATCTTGTACACCACTCCTCAGATATCAACAGATAGAACTACGTGATTTGTCTGAAATTTCTATTTCACAGTGTTCCTTCTTGTGCTTCTACAATAGGGCATTTTATGACACCGAATAGCATAGTGTACGATACTATATAGTGTATAAATATTAAAGTAGCAATAGTGTGAGATTATTATTCTGATCGTTTTTCGTGGCTTTTTCTACCGATGCATTGGTTTGTTTCTCTATATAACTGTACCTATTCCAGTATGAATTCTTTCTTTTTGGGTTTCCTAGATTATCCCAAAGTTTCCCTATTGAAACAAACTTCAGTGGTTTAGTCTTGCTGTATCTTTGCTTCTTCAGCTTCTATGTAGTGCAGTTGCATCTCCTATGTAGTGAATTCACACAAAGTCAGACACAGACACGTACATGTACTGCACCACAAATACATGTAGGTCTGTGAGTTGTCTGTGAGGCCCCACCATCTTAATTTGTTGGTTCTCGGATTCGCCTCTTCCTTTTTTTTCTGATTTGCAAAAAAAAAAAAAGATTCTGGTACTGAATCAACTAAAAAACGCTCATATTTTGCCCCCAACTGTTGAGGAAAGTCCTTTTCTTCCTTTTTGTTACAGATTTTCCATCTATTAATGCAGTGGTATTATTCAAAGTTTAAATTTCATTGTTTAAATATCAACCCAGCCTTTTGTGTTGACTTCATGGCTTCTATCGTAGTACTTGGAGCTATAATAGGATACCTAGGCCTGTGCTTATTTCTATTTTTTCGCCCTGTCGCTTCATATTTTTTCCGAAAAAGTCCGAGAGCCAACAAATAAAATTGGTGTGGCCTGGGTTGGAGACAGAAATAAAACCTGCCCCGAGTGCTATGTCAGTACGTGGGCGCGTTGGTGTGTTATTTTTGGCACACCCCTTGCTTGCTAGAGGGTGAACTTTTGTCTACATGGTCTACCATCGAATTGGTACCATAGGGAACAGGGAAATACTGAATAGCAAAGTTCTTTGATCACAACCATTTATTTTTTACAAGCCGACGTTTCGATGACCGTCTGTCATCTTCATCAGGGCAATTCTGCCTGGTTTGCTGTGCACTGACGCTAGATGTTACTTGGTGCATTCTGCACTAAAGGTGTTACATGGTTCACAGTGCACTTAAGCTAGTTTTTACTGTTAACAATGCATTTCCGAACATTGATATTCGACGTGAGATAGCTACTTAATCTAGAATAGGGAGAAGTTTACTAAGACCTACTGTGGACCCAACAGAACGACTACAGAAAAGTGTACTTAATATTTCACAACAAACCATTCGAGGGTTGCGTAGCCATTTTAAAAGGGCCGGCCATGTTTTAATTTCCACGTGGTTTGTCCCTTACTTCTATAGAACACAAATAAAATGTTGTTCTATATATCAGTCAACAAAAATGCCCGACCAATACAAAAAGACTGTCATATTTGCCTTATTTAAATTTTAACACGTCATAACACAAAAATATGTCGTACGCAACATTGCCCCAAAAACAGCTTCAGACCACTTTCGTTTTGTGTGTAAGCTGTAAAAATATACAAGATGATTTTGAGAATATGTGTGTCTTCAAAAGCTGGTTTATATAGACTTTTTGATTGGTAGAAGTAATTTTCGATAATTGTTGCTGTAGTTTTTTTAAGTACAAGAAGAGTACTTTTGTGTCAGCCTAGCCTGCTTCTGTAATTTAAACCATCTCTGTTCTCTCAGAGTTTGCGTGTCAAGCCTTTAACAGAAACAGTTTTTAGCATATTTTTCTACACCTCTGTTTACTTTTAGATGTCACCATAGATTGAAACATGACAGGTTGACATGTCGCCACTAAAAAAACCGGTCCGACTGTCCCCAAACAATTAATTGGTCTCCAGAACCATTTGCGTCAATGGGCAAACAATTGGGTCCTCATTTTCAGATGATGGCACCGTGTGTAGACGACGTCACCTTATTTTGCATATCATTAAGCCCGTAGCCATAGCAACGGTTAGTTTGTGTGCCGACTCATATAGCCTAGCGTGCGTCCGACAAGTGTTCAGACAGTCCAGAGGATTTGTGTACAAGGGTCAGTGAAAAAAAGGCCCGGTATTTCTTTATTGTCAGACGACTAGGATCTTCTTGCATAAACACGTACCGTGTGAGAAGAAGTTGTTACAGTGAGGACATCTTTTCCGGATCTTTTGGTGAGTCTTTTTAACATTATTTAACACTTTTTCCTAAACATACTCTGTCCTTGTCGTCAACAGTATATTTCTTGGGGGTATATTGTTTCCTTGGCGATTTTGTACAATTTTCTGGGCTAAAATCCACGCCTTTTCATATATTTGTCACATTTACGCGAGATAACATTTTGATGCCTTGTCAGTTCTATACGTTCGGCCTACCTGTACAAGTAAAGCCCAAGCACCTGCTTCGAACGTAGGAACAATATACTCCGTGCATTCGTGCGGTGAAAACTATTTGAAACCTTTTAAAGGCTTACCCAACCTGTTGGAATTCGCATAAAAGCCCGCTGCGGAGATATTCATGGCTTAAACCTTTTCCAAAACGTTCTCAACATGTGCACCTGCTAGTAGATACACCCTCAGGTATTGTCTGATTGTCTGTACGTAGCCAAGGCCAATTACAATGAGAGCACGAATTTAAAAAAAGGCGTCCGTGCGTCACTGAGATATCACTCAATGTCGGAAACTTTGTTAGGATTACTTCTCCTTTTCACATGTTGCTTCAATGACTGGTGCCTTTGTGTACAAGCTAGCTAAACATAGATCTTGTAGCCAGGCTGCGAGGTGGGATCACTAGTCTGAAAAGCCCTAGCGTTGTCGGGTGTACAGTTTGGTGGAGTTTCTCACATCTAGCGAGGGGAGAAGCCTGCTTGAGTGTGCGGTTTCTCGGACGTTGTAGGTAGAACCCATTTCTGAGTAGTCTTACAAATGTGACGGGACACTGGACATATTCGTCCCCTCGAGCGCATTTTGAATCATCATTTTTGTGCTACCGGTGGGACACAGAAAGGTATGCGTACTTTTTAAATCATTTTTCTCCTAGCCAGTATGAATTGACGGTAGATCTAGCTCCAAACAGAATATCTTGAGGTAAAATGTACGGATTTTGTTAAAAAAAAACCTACTCGTACGGCGTTGTGCTCTCGTAGTTGATACACTGGCTTCTCTGTTTGTTTGTGTAGTCTGCGGCAAAGAATGGATTTGTCCCACACCATAGATTCACCTGTGATCTAGCTCCCGGTAGATCTAGCTCCAATCTGAATATCTTGAGGTAAACTGTACGGATTTTGTTCCAAAAAAACTACTCGTACGGCGTTTTGCTCTCGTAGTTGATACACAGGCTTCTCTGTTTGTTTGTGTAGTCTGCGGCAAAGAACGGATTTGTCCCACACCATAGATTCACCTGTGATCTAGCTCCCGGAAGATCTAGCTCCAATCTAAATATCTTGAGGTAAAATCTACGGATTTTGTTCCAAAAAAACCTACTCGTACGGCGTTTTGCTCTCGTAGTTGATACACAGGCTTCTCTGTTTGTTTGTGTAGTCTGCGGCAAAGAACGGATTTGTCCCTCACCATAGATTCAACTGTGACAAGGGGGAGGGATTCGGTTGGCTTCGCTTTGTGCCGAATTCCATTCAGTATTGTCCCATGGCTTCCTTTTTAACATTTTTTCGCATACTTACCAAAAAATGACAGTACTTTGATAAACATAGGGTCATAGAATAACAGGCTACATACCCTGCATTTTTAGTAAGCCGTACCTGGCACAGTGGTTACCATAATGATGTATTGGTATCTGTCGGCTTCGTTTTGGCAACACTTGCTATATTCGTGCGTAGACAGATAGATTTTAGAGTAAGCCTCGGTTAACAACTGTGAACTTTGCTGATTTTTTAAAATTTGTGTCGCATTCAGTGAAAACGGTTGTCAATTCTTCTACTTTTCTGCAGTGTGTTACGTTAGCCAGTATAGGTTCAGCTAATCGTAAAATTCAGTAAAATCCCGTGAAATATTGTCACTGAAATTTTTCGTGGGAGTGACAAAGTTTGTTGTTTTTAGATCCTAGAGACAGACTTTAAGATTGTGTAAGGGTTAGTTACGCCAGGCCGTTGCCATGGTAGTGGTGTAAACATAAGACAACTCATTACACGAATAGCCGGGGCTTTTGTCGCCCTAGATACCTTTCAATCATCATACTGTTCCCAGAAGGGCAAAGACAGACGTCATAATGTCCACTTTTGTTCACTTTTCATTCCGGACTGAAATATATGGTTTAAGTGCTTCATGTGCGTTACTTGTTTCTGATTTCCTAAAGGTTTTCGACTAGGTAAAAAGTGACATACTAAAGGATTTAGTAATCGGTCTACACAAAAATTACACACAACTGGGGATTCAAAATGCAACAACATATCTACATTTCATCATAAATCCTATGCATACACTGGAAGGATTTGGCTACGCTTTGTTGCAACAGATAGTTGTCTATAGGCGTGGACTTTTCAAAGGTCTTTGATCAAAGGACCGCTCAAACCGGTTTTTACCAGCTTCGCCCGTGCGCACCATGACATGTAAGGTGGTATAGCACAGCTGAGAATTTTTGTCTAGTGAGATTTCACGCGAAATGACACAGCAAAAAATTCTTCTTAGTTAGGTTCTTTCTTATTTATCTATTTATTTATTTATCATACAAGAAAGAAGCTTATGTTCCCGTGTGTATCGTGCTTAGCTGATGATGTTGGTTGTAATTACTACATCCATCTATTCGTGTAATCACATGAATAATGAACGGGCTTCAGAGATGTTCGTGGATTATTCTCATTAAGAACATCTATTACGACTATAATCCACTATAACCTCCTTGCCATTACAAATGACAGGCACTTTAATAGGCTACAAGTAAGGTTATGATATGTTGAAGACTAGCAACGTTGGTCTGTAATAACAATATTGTAATTCATCTCTAACAGTAAGCTTTTCGAAGAAAAAAACTTTCATGGAGTAGAAATTTGCCGAGGCTAATTATTTTCAACAACAAGTTCCAATGATTATTCAAAAAGGTTCTTTAAAATTTAAAAACTGGGCGTGTTCTAGTAAACAAAAGGGCCCAAATGCTTACGTTCTAATCTGGCATAACTTAACACATGGGTCCCAAGAGATCTCCTTGTGGACACTTGCATAAGTTTAAAAAATGACAGGTCCAGTTGTTGCTTCTGATACGGATTCTGAATCTGAAAATGGCATCAAAGTTGTTTTAATGTGATTGAACATTGTGATTAGTACACATGTATCTTTGTCACCATGGTGATGCTTTGTAACAAAGATCAAGGATGTTGTTAGGGATATAAAAAGTGTAATGGTATATGTGCATGTTCCTACAGTCTTTATTGTTATCTTCCTATTGATCGAAATCACCATCTTAAGTATTGATTCCAATTTAAGCCTTCCAGTGTGAATTCTTTAAAGGGCGTCCCTTTATACAGATAACGCATTGCACCAGTTTCTGGTACACGTCCTAAAATGTGTACTACTATTTTTTTGCTCTGAGATATTGACTATTGTCAAGGTATTCCAAATGTGACAAGTTTGAAGTGCTAATTCTGTAATTACATGCATAGAATATGTCCTTATTGGGGCTTACGCTTGCTACATTTAAAATTTACACGTGCGTGATGCAAGATTTAAAGATCTTCGCCTCTGGCTATTTTTTTGTTTGCTCTTGGCTACCAAGACAACTGACTCACTCACCTGTACCGTCTAATTCCCCCCGGACAGCAGCCCTAATTATCACCATTGTCTCAAACCAATTAGAACAGTGTCTATGACTGGGGCAGCGTTTTGTTTGGCCCAATGCCTTGGTAACTGGGCGTGGTGTTAGTTTTTAAATTAGGCGTTCCCTTAAAATGGCATGGTGTTCATACCACTAATTATATTCATGGCAAAAGCCTGCGAAAAAGTAGAAGGTCATTAGATGTTTTTTCCATTTTTTCATCCTTTTCCTTAGCTCTCGTTTCGGAAATCAAAATAATCAGAAATGCTTCCTAAAAACTGATAACCAAATATAAAAGCTAGCGAGGTTTGGACGATACAAGACTGTCTGGACTGCTCATTTTGTGATCTCTGAAACGCCGTAGCTTTGTTTTGAGAAAAACTTTTTTTAGTCCACTGGGACTCGGAATTAGGAGAGATCTAGAACTATTAAGTAGATTGCTCTGTGGCAAAAGTTACTCACTTTGAAACATTTCCATGACAAAGAATTCTTTTGTTCTTCCAGGATCTTTTCGAAAATCACACTTACTTCATCTTGGAAAAAGACACTTGGAATGAGAAATACGCTCTCCATACTGCTGTGTGGACTCCTGGTGGCCACAACATGGCAGTCCACCGGTGCACAAGGGGCCTGCCAGTGCGTCCCTACGACCCCAGGTCCGATCACAACAAGAGGGATGACAACACCTGAGGCCAGCACGGCTGGAGCTTCGACTGCCGGTGCTACAACTGGAGCAGCCTCCACGGCAGCAGCTACAACCGGGGCAGCCTCAACGGCAGCGGCTACAACTACCGGTGCAGCCTCAACTGCAGCACCTACAACAACCGGTGCAGTCTCTACGGCAGCAGCTACTACTACTGGGGCAGCCTCCACGGCTGGAGCTTCCACGGCTGCAGCTACAACTACTGGAGCAGCCTCAACGGCAGCAGCTACGACTACTGGTGCAGCCTCAACTGCAGCACCTACAACAACCGGTGCAGCCTCCACTGCTGGAGCTTCCACGGCAGCAGCTACAACTACTGGAGCAGCCTCCACTGCAGCAGCTACAACTACTGGAGCAGCCTCAACTGCAGCACCTACAACCACTGGAGCAGCCTCAACGGCTGCAGCTACAACAACTGGGGCAGCCTCCACGGCTGGAGCTTCCACGGCTGCAGCTACAACTACTGGAGCAGCCTCAACAGCAGCAGCTACAACTACCGGAGCAGCCTCAACTGCAGCAGCTACAACCACTGGTGCAGCCTCAACGGCAGCGGCTACAACTACCGGAGCAGCTTCAACGGCTGCACCTACAACCACTGGGGCAGCCTCAACTGCAGCAGCTACAACGGCTGGCGCTTCAACTGCTGGGGCTGCAACCACAGTTCTTCCTACATCACTAGCAACGACGCCTTACTTCAGCACCCTCGCTCTGTCTACGGCTTGTGTCTGCCCACCAGGATACGTGCAAGTCTTTGTAAGTGGCATGTCTCATCAATAAAGTATCATTAATCGCTTTGAAGTTTGAAAAGGCACTAGATCTAGAAAAGTAACTTCTAGTTAGATTTGAAATATCTTGTAAATTGTATCTGAATGTATAGTAAACGTTCCTGTTAACCTAGAGGATACAGTTTCCTCTTCTGATGGATTTGTGCAAATGAAAAGGTAACAGAGCTAACTGTAAATCTTCTGCAGGGACATGATTATCATGTTGATACAAATTGTCATTACATGACATTGTGGTAGTTCTGATGTTCATTATTTATCGTCATCACAGGGTACCGCCAGCCCGGCAGCACAGAGTACAGTGGCCCCGAGTACAGCAGCACCAACAACCAGGGCCCTGGTCGATGAGTGCGCCTTGGGTACCGACAACTGCCACGCAGATGCAACCTGTGTGGATAGCGACCCTCATGTCGGTTTCTCCTGCACCTGCAACGCCGGATACCAGGGCAATGGCACATACTGTGAAGGTAGGATCACCAGCATTTTTACTGAAACATTTGTTACGTTCTTTCGCTTTGCACACTGCTATTACATCTGTTCACAACGCTTTTTCTACTCTTTGAATTGAAGTTGCTGCATCGAATAATCGGGATGCCTGATTGTTCATCATCAGCTTCCATATTGCCTTCATACCATAAGTAGGGACGTCGTCACACCACTGTATATTACTATGCATGTAATAATGAGTGCTGCGATCCATTGAACATGTGCACACTTCATGCTTGTTAAGACATCATCTGCTGCTTCTAGCACAGCCGCTTATGCAAAGGCTTCTCTCTCTATATCAGATACTGACGAATGCGTGCTTAGCCCTTCTTCCTGCGGAAGTCACACCACATGTGCGAACCTTGTCGGTTCGTTCAGGTGTGATTGCATGAGCGGGTTTGAACCTCTCAATGCGACACATTGCACTGGTAAGTCCATCCGATCATCATGCTACATAAAATCATCCACATTCACGTCACTCATTCACTAATTAAGCTTTATAAGTGTGTCATAGATGTTGTGGAGTCGGGATGGTGGAGTTTAGAAAATGTTGTGAGGTCGTGTGGCGTAACGACAGAGCATTCGGCTCGGAACCAAGAGGTCCCGAGTTCGAATCCTGCCATGCCACCGATCTTGTGCCCTTAGGAAAGGCACTTTACACGAATTTCCTTACGTTACTCAGATGAAAATGAGTATGTCTGTTGTCCGTTCATGAGTTTGTCTGCATTGGTTGCCGCATAAAAATAAGTTGAAAAAAACTGAGTGTGCCGTCGCCATGTCTTGTAATAAATGTTTGAATAGAAAAAATGTGTCATACATAGCATTACATGTGCGAATATAGGAATCATTTTAATACCCTATAGTTGTAGGCAAGAACACATTTCACTGACTAATTCATTTTTAATCAGACGTTGAAATTCATTCCTCACAACTTGTGAAGTGTATATGTATATGTATTAATCATTTGTTTTTACCAATGTTAATGGCAGACATCAACGAGTGCACACTTGGAGTCAGCGGATGTTCGGACATCTGCAACAACACGGACGGATCCTTCGCTTGCGACTGTCCGGCCTTTTTCAAACTTGATGTGGCAGACAACAAAACTTGCGTCGGTAAGTTAAGACAGTCTAACACACTCCACTTTCGATAAAACCATATTTTCGTTCCGTCCTGTGCAATAGTTTACGTCTCTTACACAATGTGACGTTCCGTTGAAGTTGATTGAAGTTGGTAGGTACAGCCAGACTCCCCCAAACGACAGAATGTGTACTCTCAGTAACGATAATTGTGTATGGAGCACATTTTGTTTTAGAATGCACAATATACACAAACATGCGGAATTCTCTAATTAGTTTCTTACAATTAGAACAGAAAAATGCGCACTTACCGAAAAGAGAATTGTTCAAACATATTATGACATCCAAGAACTACTATGTAAATGAAAAACTGTGAAAATATGTTCATGCTTGTTTCAAAAAGAGTGAAGATATCTTGTAGATATAGGCGTAGCTCAACAATGTAACACTTGTTCCTCCTATCCTTGTACCACATTTATCTAACGTAGTGTATTTGACCCATGTAGGGCGTGGATATGCAATAAAGTTCACTGTCATCAATGATGATTTTCACTATGGTTCATAAATATTTTTTTCCCGTCCCACCAGCCGCACGTTCCTGTGACACCTCCAACCCTTGCTCTCCCTCCGACGTCTCCACGTGTGCAGTGACGGACTCAGGCTATACCTGTGGTTGTAACTCAGGGTATAAACTGGCGGATGGGAGTCAAACACTCTGTGTCAGTAAGTACACCTTTTTTCATCTGATGGAATTTTTTGGAAAAAAAATTAAAATTGTGAAAATTTGTAGGAAAAATTTTAAGGAAAAAATGATGGAAAAAATGGAAACATTTTTGCAAAGTAGGACTTGCAGTGCATGTTTAGCTTTGTGAAAAGACTATGAAAAAGTCAATAAAGAATCAGTATAATTTCTTTGTAGAATTACTAAATACACCGAAGTGACCATATGTGGTCTAGAGCATGTTAGACATGCACAGAAAAATTCAACACTAACAATACTGAATTCTAATGCTAAATGTTAAAATTCTATCTTAAGACAACATTGTGTACTTGATACATGACCTGTACCTACTTTGTAAGGGCATGAAGGCATTCAGTAATATGGAGAACTTTACCTCAACAGATGTTGACGAGTGCGCTACGGGAGAGAACAACTGCGACCCGACCCTCGGCATGTGTACCGACAATGCGGGAGGCTTCACCTGTTCCTGTAAGGCCGGGTACACCGGGGCTGGGACCATCGGGGCTTGTACAGGTGAGAGGTCTTACATATATTCGAACCTGTTGTTCTTTGCAGGTGTGATTCATCGACAAAGGCCCTGTTCATGTGAAGTCACCCGAACCGCGATTCGGGTAAATCGCATTCCTCACATCTGGTCCACGTGCCACACGTTCCTTTCAAACCGTGCCCAAGTACGATTTGCCCAAACTACATTCATCGCAAATCGCGACCCGGTTAAACCGGTTCGAAACTACCTCCCAAGGTGGTTTGGGATCGAGGCCGTTTCAATGTGATTTGTAGCGTTCAGATGGGGCCACTTGAATCCGGCTTCTGTGGATCTGGATCGAAAGCGCTTACAGCGTTTTCGTGTGAACGGGGCCAAATACTACTAGATGTCTGTTTTCCCCATTATGATTTTGTGATCACCCAGCTGCTCATTCATTACAGTACAGCTAATTTCTCTATAGAAAAAACGTTCTAATATCCTTGCTTTTAACACACTATCCATTCTTACAGATGTGGACGAGTGTGCCGCCGGTACAGCCGTCTGTGACCCCAATGCGAACTGCGTCAACACTGTGGGTGCGTACACATGCAGCTGTGACACAGGGTACAAGAGCATCGCTACCAACGGTACAGGATTCCCAGGAGAATGCAAAGGTGGGCAGCATAAAACTCCATAAACAAGTTATCAAATGATAAGTTTATTGCAAATTCCTGTCCGAAGGCTAAAAGCAACTAACAAGAATAAGAGAACAGAGTGCAATATAACCTCAAATCAAAATTATCATGCGTTTACTGTCATATCTATAATCAAAGACGAAACAATCGTTGCCTTGTGGTCGCGTGGCGTAAGGGCAGAGTGTTCGACTCTGAACCAAGAGGTCCAGGGTTCGAATCTTGCCATGCCACCTATCTTGTGCCCTGGGGAAATACACTTAACACGACTTTCCTCGCTTCTCTCGGTTGAAAATTAGTAGCCTTCTCTGAGTTGGTGGCTTAAGAATAAGTTACGAAAACTTGAGTGTGCTGTCACCATGTCTTGTCTTTATTAATGTTCAATAAAAAAATAATAATCATAAACTAATATTCTTCTAATTTTTTCCTACAGAGGACCGACTGTTTCCGTTCGGCGCTAACGCCGGTGACATGAGCGTGACCGGAAGTGTCGCCAGTGACAAAACGTCCAGCCTCATCAAAGTTCCCGACGGTCTGCCTCTGTTCGGAGGTCGGCTGTGTGACACCCTTTATGTAAGTTCTGTTGTCTTTTTTAGTAAGACTTGTACAGTCTCCTGCAGTCACTGTACATAGAACTTTGTGGGGTCGTGTGGCGGTAGTGCTTGACTCGGAGCCTAGCGGTCCCGGGTTCGAGTCCTGACATGCCACTGATCTTGTGCCCTTGGGAAAGGCACTGAACACGAATTTCCTCGCTTCGCTCAGGTAAAAATGAGTATTGTATTGTCCCTTGTGTTGGTGGCGGCATTAATATAAGTTTTAAAAAACTTGAGTGAGCCGTCACCACGTCTTGTGATCACATGTTGGAAATAATGATAAAAAAACTTTGTCACCATGAGCATGTACTCATTTCGTAAGGGCAAAAAATGTACAATAAAGGTCCTTCATTAAAGTAAGGCATTTAGAGGTGGCATTTTATTGCCTCCAAGATGGCATATCACGGGTTAGGCAGTCACATTCCAAAAGTATTTAAACAGCTTTGAACACCATTTATAGATGATAACAACGGTTAGGACGCACAAACTCACTGACGAAAGGTAGTGGATGCTACTTGAAACGTCTGACAGTTTTCAAAATCTATCCAGTTCCTTGAGTAACTCTTCTTGCAGCATGATGTAACCCAGCCTGGGTGTCTAACATCCATTGATGTAACGATTAGGACGAATTGACTCATATCGTGTGTCTCACAATCCTAACTTTCCTACCACAGGTTCTTGAGAACGGGCTTGTCGTCGCCACTACCCTGAAGGAGACGCAGGACTCCGTGGCCAAGACCATCTACCGCCACCCCACCACTGACGCCGCCGCGTTCGGCGATCCCGTGTGCGCCGTGTTCGCTCCGTTCTGGGCCGACGCCGTCGTGGGAGGAGAATATCCCTCAAAGGTAAAACACGTTGTAAACTACGAATGAAAAAAGGTAAAATTTGCAAAGCAAAAATGCATAATGCTTACCTTTGCATACGGTCTGCTCTGTTAATTCCTACTCAAACACATTCATATACATGTACTACTACAGGAGCAGAGCATACCATGAAATTGCAACATTATGTAACCCAACACCAGTCACCATAGTGACAGACTTCAACAAATCATGTCATTGGTCAGGTCATAGTTCACTGATTGGAGAAGAAAAAGAGGAAGAAACGGAGCAAAAACAATATGTTTTCCTTTGGTAAACTTAACTTGAAAGGTAACATTTACAAAACAAATGCACAATGTTTACCTTCGCATATGGTCTGCTCTGGTAATTCTTACTCAAACACATGCATATATATGGTCAGGCAGGAGTCTAAATCCCCCCTGCTATAAAATTGCAACATGATGTAACCCAACACTAGTTACCATGGTGACAGACGTCAGGTCCTGGTCACTGAACTTATTTTTTTTGGAACAGAAGAAGAAGAAGAGGAAGAAACTGAGCAAAAAGACATGTAGTGTGTTTTCCTTCGGTAAACATAATGACTGAATAGTGCCATTGAATCAAAAGGATCAAAAGATATGAGAAAAGTGACGAGAACATCACATTTATGTTATTACATCTGAAAGTATCGTCAAGTAGTGATCTTCTAAGAACCGTGCGTTGAATACGCCATTTCAATACAGTTGAGCTGCATACGTACATGTACATGGTGAGTAAAATCTCTGTTTCCTGTGTTGTAGGTTTGGTATCATTATTATCAAAAGAACTCTGGAGGTGACGACGCGATGCTTCAGACGATCGACGAACTGACCATGATTCCCGGCTTCAACGCGACTTTCGCCCTGCTGGTGACGTATGAGACCATGGCCATGGCTGGGGAGACAGCACGACCAGACATGGAGGTGTGTTTGTTTGTTTGTTTGTTTGTTTGTTTGTTTGTTTGTTTGTTTGTTTGTTTGTTTTATTTCACAGAGGAGATACATATCGCCTGAGAGCGCTTTTTAAAAAATCCAAACAAAAGTCAGTTACATCAAAAATAACTTTCCAGTCCAAATTACAACAAAAGTAACAAAAAAAGTTACGCAAATTACTAATTGATACAACACTTTTAAAAGTAACTTAAATAATATACATGATGCTGATGATGTGTGTATCACTGCCGAGGAGAAACTGTCAGTTGACAGACTTCTTAAATACATACTAGTACTTGGTTCACAGATATATCCTTTTTTGTAAAAAGTAATTGTCTACCATCTATATAAAGACTCAATAATCATAAATCATTGTTTTTTGTTACTTTGTGCTACATATGTATTATCATCTGTATTTTCTACATATTGGATTCTTTTTGCTAATTTATTATATGTAAGTGGTAGCGTTGAAATAAGTCTTAGAAACTTGAGTGCGCTACCACTTTGTGTTGTACCATGTTATACTGTGTGAACAATAAAAAAATCATTGTCGTGGGGTCGCGCGGCGTAACGGCGGAGTGCTCAGCTCAGAACCAAGAGGTCCCGGGTTCGAATCCTTACGATTATCATTTTTTTTATTCATCAAAAAATGAAAACATAACAAGGACAGTGTGACGCTGCACTGAAGTTTATAACTTATATTAACAGTGCCACACAACAAAAAAATTAGATTCACAAAGTTGACATATCTGTGCGCCGTAGTCCCACCACCCTAAGACATTCAAAATGCTAATAAATCATCATTTTTCCCTCAGACGAACACGTTCCAGGGCGGTATCATCACGGATGGCGTCCACACCTTTGCCGGTGCCATTTACGAAGACGGCGGCATGAAGTGGGACCCACAGATCACAGACAGTAACCTGGTCGGTGGGAAGTGGCCCGCCTTTGTCGGTATCGTCGTCGAGAGTGCAAACGGCTCGCTCATCGTGGTCGAGAACGAAAATTCAAGGTGCGTTTCACCATTACTAAGAAGCAAGGAGAAGTCCAACTCACGTAATTTCAGTTAGTTGTTGTGACCGAACTCAACGTTAAGCCAGTGTGCACAGTATGTGTGTACAATATAGGTCTTCATTCATTCATTCATTCGTTCGTTCGTTCATTCATTCTTTCATAATATCACAATGTTTTTATGATCACATTCGCTTGTGAAGGCAAGACATTCACAAGTCCAGCATAGAGCTCTTTGCAGAGCCCGAGCCTTTATTCTATGACAGTGACAATGATGACATATTCATGCCCCATTTGGTATAAATGCAGTAAGTCAGATACCGTGAGAATACTGAACAAACTACGCTATATTTACTATACCTATGATTTGCTTGCTTCTTCTGTCTTCTTGAGATATGTATAGACGAACTTACAAAGGTTTTCTATTGCATTGCAGTTAACCGAACACATTATATGCGAGACATTACATACTATAGAGATTAACAGTCTTTTTCTGTTCCGGTTGTCTTTCCAGGATGAAGACTAAGCTGGCAAACGGTGCGAAGGACTGCAGCGGCACGAACGTGTACTGTATGGACAGCCGGGCCACGGAAGGCGTGTGGAGCCAGGCTGACGACAACGCCGACGGCTGGGTCAACCCCAGAAAGTGGTGTACGGACTGGTACAACGTAAGTATGCGCTTTCCTCGTAAGTGTGCGCTTTCCTCGTAAGTGTGCGCTTTCCTCGTAAGTGTGCGCTTTCCTCGTAAGTGTGCGCTTTCCTCGTAAGTGTGCGCTTTCCTCGTAAGTGTGCGCATTCAAACACACCATTCAAACACAGCAGTGACACATTTACTGTGGAATTTGAACCAGTCAGAATCGCCCTGAGGAAGGTGACAGAAGGTCACTAAAATGTCGGCTGAATAAAACGCTTGTGTAAATATAAACTCTTTATTCAGTGACTTGCCTTCCAGATGAAACTATTCCCAGATATTCTATTATATACGGTAAACAAACAAGAATAACTTCTACGCTATTGTGATTTGATTTCTTTCATCATGTTAGTATCAGCGGACCTTTTGTTTTCTAACCGGTCTCTTGAACACAAATTATGACTATCTGTAAGTGATCACTGACTGATTTGGCTTTTATGTAACTGCCCCTTCAACGATCACGAAAGAAAGGACCTGTTTGAAGAGGCCAAGAAGAGTTCTCCTCTTAACATCACAAATCCACACATTATAGAAAAAGTGGGATCATTCGTCTTCCACTGTCACGGAAAAAGACGTCAAACCCAATAAGTTAGAATTTAGTAGTTAGAGTAGTCACATACTATGTTGTTACCCACCCTGTTGTCCATACTTTATTTTCATGTTACATGTACTTGCAATTAGCCTACGAGCAGGAATTTGCAATATAAACGTTTATTTCTATATCGTGTTTAGGCTGAACCAGCCGTCAGCGCATTTGCCAGCGCTGTACCCTGCCCACTGACCAAGGCTCACGCCGATCTCGACACGAGGTTTAAAGCGGCGAGTGACGTGTCCACGGGAGGGAGAGCCTGCTATGAGCAGAACGACGGGTCTTCTTTCACCAACGGTAGGCAACTGCTTTAGCAACTTCTTCTTCTCTTCCTCCTCCTATACCTCCTTCTCCTCCCCTCCTCCTATTCCTCCTCCTCCTTCTCCTCCTCCTTCTCCTCCTTCTTCTCCTTCTTTCCCGTCTCCTTCTTCTTCTTCTTCTTCTGTCCTCAGCAGACTATTTCTAGGTCTCATGAGTGTGGCTTCGGATGTGGCTACTACTACATACACAATACTTGCAAACCAGAACTTTGGAAACATTGTTGTGTTTTAACTTATCTATGTCTTTGTCCGTAGGTGGAAACAGCCTGTGCTGTTATGGAGCTTCTGACGGTGCCTTTATGCTAAACAACAGGGAGCTGTCTGGCAATGTTCATCGTTATGCTCGGGTACGCTACAATTCACATTCTTTGGTTTCCCATATCGATAAATTATGTTAAAAGATGTACCTTTGAAGAGATACCAAGCGTATGCATTTTAACAGCATATTGTTCGAAAATACTACATTTTTTGTTTGAATTGTTTCCAAGGACGGCAATGTATATATTCTATACCAAAATAGTCTACATTGAATGATTTCTTCGGTGAAGAATATCCAGCTAATATGATACACTAAAACAGTTACTCAAGCAACCGGATATGATTTTGGAAACGGTCAGACGTTTCAGGTAGCATTTCATCAATACCTTTCATCAGTGGCACTGGAAAGATCTCAAATTCAGCAGGTTTGTAAACACGAGATGTTGATTGGTTGATTGATTGATTGATATGCAATCTGCTTCTCCTTTCTCCTTCAGAGCTCCCAGAACTACCAGGACCATGACGTGAAGCCCAGACAGTACTGCTGCCAGGACACGTCCAGCGCCTACTGCACCATGTACTTCGAGAAGAGGCCGATGATCTCATCTGATGGATACGAGGCTCCCCAACAGAGTGAGTTCTAATCGATAGCTTGAACATCAACCAGCGTCCTTTGTTCTTTGTTCTTTTTATTTATTCACATGTATTCATTGAGTATCAAGAAAGAAGCACAGTTGCTTGTATAACGTCTTCTACTCAAAAACATTAAACGAGAGTAAAACACAATGACAAAATACATACATAATTACAAAGTGGGTGAAGGAAAAATGAGTATAAACAAGACAAGTTGGTGATCTATCAATTAAGCGAATCTACCTGTAGAGTAGATAAAGTTTTGAACTACATCAAAGACATTACAGTTTTGTGAATGTGATGTGGACCCAGTGTTCTTTATTGCTATAGTAGAGTACTTTATCGACAAAACAAAAGTGCAGCGACTTTCGTAAGGTCTAACTATAACTTAACATACAGACAGACACGTGGGTATGAATCAACATACTGATTTTAGTGTAATACTTGCTCTTAAGTCCACACATTCTTTGATATATTTACCTATTTGTACACAGTAAGGCTTCTAGAATGAAAAGCAGATGAACCATTTCTAATAAATCATCTTCCTTTGATTTTTACAGGTGCTGGAGCGGGTGATCCTCACATCACTACCCTGGACGGATTCTCCTACTCGTTCAACGGCTACGATGAGTACCTCATGGGCACCAACACCAGCGACGCCCCGCGGGTCTTCCAGATGCAGGGCAGGACGAAGTTGGCAGATGTCGAGCCCGGCAAGGTCCCCCTGGCGACAGTGTTCAGGTAAATAAAAACTGACATAATTTGACTACATCATTGCCTTTTCAGTATGTTTCTGTTTACATTCGCACAAGGAAAACATACTGTTTTTGCTCTGTTTCTTCTTCCTCCTCTTCTTCTTCTCCCATCGAATAAGGTCAATGACCAGGACCAGACGTCTGTCACCATGGTAACTGGTGTCGGTTACGTAATGTTGCAAGTGCCATGCAGAACTGAGTCCAAGAGGGGCTGCATGGTCACCATATATATATGAATGTTTTTGAGTAAGAATAAACAAAGTAGTACTTTTTTAAGCTGGGCCATGTGAAGGTAAACATAGTGCATTTGCTTTCTAGTTGACGGTTGTTGCTGCTTTAACATTCGTCATATTTCTGTTTTTTTACTGACCGTGTGCGTCTTCATCTTTGCAGTGGTATTGCCGTGAAGCAGCCCACCAATGACGTCCAGATCTACCTGAATGGTACGGGAACTAGTGTGGACATCTACGTGGACAGCACAGCCTATACACACGCTGGCATCGACGATGGCTCAACCGACTCCTTCTCTGATGGACGATTCCAGCTTGTGAAAGATTGTAAGTTCACTCATGTTTTACAGCCTTTGTGATTATGTTTACCGAAGGAAAACATATTGTTTTTGCTACATTCCCTCTTCTTCTTCAAAACAAAAAGGTCAATGACCTGAACCAGGCTGTCTGTTACCATGGTAACTAGTGTTGGGTTACATCATGTTGCAATTTCATGGCAGGAGGGATTTAGACTCCTGTCTTACCATATACTAGTATATGATTGTGTTTGAGTAAAAATTAACAGAAGGTGAACATTGTGCATTTGCTTTGCAAATGGTATCTTTCTATTCCTATGATAATGTTGGTATATGAGGTAAAAAGCAAGAAGCACATTGTCCTGTCTTGAACGTCAATGAACTTGTGACGTTTCGTCTTCCAGCCTCTACGTCAGCTGTGACTGGTGTCAAGGTCATCTTCACGTCCGGAATCTCGGTGGAAGTGAAGGCGGGACTCGGCATGCTCACCTACGCAGTCTCCATGACCCCTGACATGAAGAGCAAGCTGAAGGGCCTTCTGGGTAATTTCAACGGCAACAACCAGGATGAGTTCTTCTGGCCCAACGGCACAGCGGTTTCTTTCACCAATGCAACCAACCCTCCAGAAGACGAACTATTTGCATGGGGCCAGTCATGTAAGTTGTCATTTATATGTTTACCGAAGGGAAACATATCATTTTTGCTCTGTTTCCTCTTCCGTTCCAAACACAAAAGGTCAATGACCATAACCAGACGCCTGTTACCATGTTAACTAGTGTTGGGTCACATCATGTTGCAATTTTATAGCAGGAGGGATTTAGACTCCTGTCACCATATATACAGTAAGAATTAACAGAGCAGACCATATGCAATGGTAAATATTATGCATTTGCTTTGCAGATATTACCTTTCTAGTTATAGTTCTAGATTTGCCGTCTTACTTATTGTAAAATATTTCTTATATTGGATTGTCTGTTCGGTTTTTGTTCGTTTGCTATGTCAATTAATGCTTGATGTCTTTCTTTCCGACAGGGGCCTTGCGTACCACGGGCGACAGTACCCTCTTCACCGTGTATCCCGACGGCGAAAATGCCGCAACATACGGCAACAGTTCCTTCACTCCTCTGTTCTTCAACCTGGACACCATGTTCCCTAACGAGACCGACAAGGCCCGCGCCATATCGGTGAGACTCTTTTTGCTCACTCTTGATAAAGATCATTTCTACGCCTGATTTGTTTCGCGGATGTTATATGCCATAGTGCTGAACGCACGCTAAGACTACTACATTTACTATGCAAGTCTATCCGTTGCTAAGGCCCATGAATTGTGACGAACAATCATCCAAAAGAGTATATTTACCAATCAGGCTTATTCGTGGCTAGGTTCCATGAATTGTGACGAATAATCATCCAAAGGTGTGCACACTCACATTCTAAACAATTCTCGATATTGAAATTTTGAAATCTCTTCAGCACTAGTAGTGTCACCGACGAAAGATGCTGCCTGAAGTGAAACATCTAAAAGTTTCCAAAATCATATCCAATTGCTTGAGTAACTGTTTTCTCTTGGTTAATCTTATTCCTCGGATGTCTAACCTTCACCGACGTAATACTCGAAATTTTCTTGTCGCGTTCAACCTTCTAACCACTTAACGTTGCTATCTGCAGGTGTGTGGCGGTGCAGATAAGAAGGAGTGCCTGTTTGACATCGCGCTGACTGGAAACGAGGAGGTGGGAGCCGCCGCAGCAGCAGCTTTGGACGCTGTAGCCAACAGCAACGCCGCTCTCTGTAAGAACCTTCATCATAGGAACTTTTATAATTTGTCAAAAGGCGTAATCATCTTGGAAAAACATATCAGATTTATACGACATCTACAAGCTTTTCAATATCTATTTTTCTTAACAAGTTTTGAAGAGGATGTTTTTCTGATCCAACACATGATATTGTATCATGAAAGTTTACTGTGTTGGTAGTTACATGTTTGAAGTTAAAATTTTGATCCAATACAATATAGTTCTCTCACCTAGAGCTTTTGACCAGTCACTCTGGTCATCCTCAGTAGACTGACCCAGTGAGGCTTGTCACATGGCTTCTTTGAAGTGTGACGTCAACGCTGGGTCTGGTAGACGATGTCGGCCCCCGTCACGGTTTAGTGAAGGGTGATGGGCCCTGATGTAGATAGTCTCTTTCACCCCTCTCGGGAAATAGCCTTGTTTAGTGTCCAATATTCTTGCATATGACGGTAGACCTGGACCTCTGGGAAGAGCATTTCCATCGGCAGGGCATTTCCAGTATAAATAAAGGCTATTGGTTGATTGATTGATTGATTGATTGATATCGTTTTACAGCGAACACCCCGCCAGTCTTCAACGTGACGTCAGAGATCCGGGCTACCGTTGGTCAGGAGTACGGCCTGCAGCTGGAGGCTACAGACGACGGGTCGGTCACCATCACTGTCGCACAGGGACCGGGCAGCCTCAACGGCAGCAACTACTACACGTAAGTCTTACTCTTAAAGACATTGAGTGAAAAAGTGCACTCCTGTCTATGGATCGAATGATGTCGTACTGATAGCACTGAAGTGATATTATGTAAGATTTTTGCACCAATCCTCTAGATTGTCATTTTCAGTAACTTTCAACATATTAGCGTCGCTATTTCGCTTTTCCGGCGACAGCGCAGCGTGAGAATAGGTTGCACAAGGCCCGTTGTATTTTAGGAGGCTCCTAAACAGCGGTTTTTGTTGGGGTATCTTTGGCAGCTTCAACACGTTTTTGCGGCGCAACGACGTTGATCTTTTACTTGTCATTATGAAACCAGTTAGGCTTATAGCGCAAGAAAATGTGTAAAATAAAGATGTATAAAATAGTGGAAAAAATCTTACATGATATCGCTTAATGATTTATACTTTGCTAACACAGGTGGACGCCTTCCGACACGTCGAACTACACCATCCAGTTCCTTGCCACGGATGACGTCGGCGCCTCCACCTCCCAGACCCCTGATGTCACCGTGTGCGCCTGTCAGAACGGCGGCACGTGCAACTTTGCCACCACCCTAACGGCACGAAGCGCCGGGTTCGCCATCGCCGCATGCAACTGCCAGCTGGGCTTCGTCGGCGACTACTGTGAGACGGACTACAATGGCTGCTCTGTCACACCTTGCTATCCAGGTAAGTCGGCTTTACATGTTGAATATTTCCTTTTATGTTAGTTTCGTTTGTACAACTGTACTGTTATCATATCTACGACATCTCTTTCAGACGAAATAATAGGTCGCTCCTGAATGTCCATCACATTTAGCAATTCAACCAATGAGAGAATGACAATATTAGTGATTCGACCAATGAGAGAATGGCAATTAGCAGTTCGACCAATGAAAGAATGAAGCATTTCTATGTTTTTTCGGAGATGGGTGGGGCTTTAGGATCGGTCTATTGGGGCGAATTGTCAACGGACTAACACTGTAACTCTCCCGTCCTCCAGGTGTAAATTGTACCGATGCTGTGGCGCCTCTGTCCCCCGGTGCCAAGGAGTACACCTGCGCCAGCTGCCCAGCTGGGATGGTGGGTGACGGAGAGTCCTGCGTGGATCTGAACGAGTGCCTCTTACCTTCCAACAACTCCAACGTGCACCAGTGTAAGAACGCCACCTGCTTCAACGAGGCCCCGGGTTACCGCTGCGAGTGTCTGTCGGGGTACAGCATGCTGGCTGACAACAGGACATGCGTCGGTAAGAAGCTTAAGAAATAAGATATATATAACGTTATGGCGTTTTATACATTTTACACATTTTACACATTTTACACATTTTATACATTTTGTACATTTTATACATTTTATACATTTTATACATTTTATACATTTTATACATTTTATACATTTTATACATTTTATACATTTTATACATTTTATACATTTTATACATTTTATACATTTTATACATTTTATACATTTTATACATTTTATACATTTTATACATTTTATATTGTATCCAGGCTTAATCCTGCCATATATACTTCTGGTCAAGTTGAACAACTAAAACTGATGTACAATGAAGTAAACATATACATCGATGTCATTTTCCCAGATATTGACGAGTGTGCTACCGGTGCCGACAACTGCCATGCTGACGCCACCTGTACCAACACGGAGGGTTCTTTCACCTGTGCCTGTAATACTGGGTACAGCGGAGACGGAACAACATGCTCAGGTGAGCACTGCTCTTTTGTTGTTGCTGTTGTTCTTGTTGTTGATATTGTTGCTGTTGTTGCTGTTGCTGTTGTACACACAGTTGTTGTTGTTGTATGTAAACTAGACCCTTGTAGCTGACCAACAGTCAGGAACTGAATGATTTTTTTTAACCTTCTCAGATATTGACGAGTGTCAGACAAACAACGGAGGCTGTGACCGTATCTGCGCCAACACGAAAGGCAGTTACGCCTGCTCGTGTGACGTCGGTTACAGGCTGATGGAGAACAAACACACATGCCAAGGTAACTTAAATTTTAGCCTCTCAATGATACACATTTTAAGACATAACAGCTTAGAGAAATACAATTGAATGTGTGAAAAATATCACATTACTTCAACATTTACTCATGTTCTTCTTTGTCTCCAGATATCGACGAATGTGCCGGTCCCAGTCATGGTTGCAAACAGTTTTGCACCAACACCGCCGGTGGATTTGCCTGCTCCTGCAAGGCGTACTACGCCCTGGCTGCAGACGGAAAGAGTTGTGAACGTAAGTCTACCATTCATGACATCCTTACAAAGCTTAGTCGTACATCATTGTAGTCCAAACAGAAGTGGTAGAGGGGAAGGCGTTGGCTCCAGTTAAAGTAGCGTCTGGGCTCCCTCAAGGAACCGTCCTGGGACCATATTGCTTTTCGTCTTGTATATAAATGACCTTCCAAATCAGCTTGACTTAAGCTGATCCTGTGAGTAATTTACTAGTATACAATACTCCGTGTGTTGATCTCTACTTTAAGGCTTACCCAACAGATTAGCCGTATCTGTTGTCAAGAGTCGTATCCGGTTTCAAGAGCCGTATCTGTAAGCCATGCTATGGTTGAACGCTGCCTAAAAGTTATGCCCATTTAACTATAACCTTTCGTGTGTTTCTCTCTCCAGCGGCTGTTTCCTGCAGTAACGATACCAGCTGTACTCAGTTGTGCGCCGTCATCAACGCTACTGAAGTCTGTGACTGCAACAGTGGATACAACCTCGATGGCGACGGCATCACTTGCAATGGTAGGCAAAGAAAGCTTAACCGTGAACACTATCAGAATAACTCCCTTAACAGCTACATTTTCCTTTAAGAAATAGCATGCGGCATAAAGAACAGATGTACATTGTACATCACTATGATAGAAAAGTTCAACTATTTCATCCTAAGATATTACTAAAGGACGAATAAAGAGAAACAAGAGGCTTATTCAGCTGACGTGTCGGTTTATTCTCCTTCCTTGGCCAATTGGGGCAAATCTCTTTCTGGTTGTGTAAAAAGAGCCCGTTTACTAAATGATTTACCAACCTGGTAAAACTATTCACGGATAACTAACTGCTGGCTGCATTTTTCGGTAGATTTTGACGAGTGTGCCAACGCAGCCAACAACTCTTGTGACCCCACCAACGGACAGTGCACCAACCTGCCCGGCACTTTCAACTGCAGCTGCAGCACAGGCTATCAGATCGAAGCCGGTGGAGGCACTCTCTGCGACGGTGAGTCTCATGACCAACTTTGTCTAGTCGTACATAATGTAATAACAGTGATAAACATGTTCTGAATTGACGTTTTGTTTAGCATTACAATCCTGACGATGTGAACATGTGGACATGTTTTTGTTTTTGACAAATCAAATTTTATTTGAGTGTTTTCTACCTTTTGTTGCTTGACTAAATGTAATCACGCCTTGTCTTGTGTACATGTATGCTTGGCCCTATAAGCTCCTACAAGCTGAATTGGCTACCCAGCCGCTTTATGATTAAATTGATAATTAAACCGGTAGTGTTCTAACGAATAAAATTTCTTCACTCTAAAACAGATATCGACGAGTGTCAGACGAACAACGGAGGATGTGCGCAAGTGTGTACCAACAATGGCGGATCATTCCTCTGCAGCTGTAACGCCGGCTACCAGCTCAACGCTGACGGAATGGCATGTGACGGTAAGATCTTGTTTGTTGTTTGTTTGTTGTTTTTCAGCATATAATCAGAAAACAAACATAACAAAAGGTGGTTGCAAAGACAGCATCAAATTGTCCAGGCAGTATCCATTTGCCAGCTGCAGATTTATATCTGTTAGCCACCGAAAGGATACAGCTTGGCCAGTTTGATAGTATCACTGTCTTTGCAGCCACCGAAAGATCTGCTTGAAAATTATTGAAAATAAGGCCTTTAGATAAAATGATGATCAAATCCTAACCATCGTTTGCACTATGACAATTCTACAACATCACAAGGACAAAGTCTAAAGTTTAAAAATAGTTTTCCTCCCAATATAACAGTGACCTAAAATCTTCCTTATGTTTTCCGCAGATATTGATGAATGTGCCTTGGGTACCGACACTTGCTCGCACTCCTGTGTGAACACCGGTGGAGCCTACAACTGTACCTGTCCAGATGGACTCAAACTGGACCTTACAATGAAGAACTGTATCCGTAAGTAGATCTAGACAGTACTATCAATACATTTGCTAATTCGAATTTGCAAGTAAACTTGAACATTATGATCTACTTCAAAGCCAAGACGTCTGTCAATGAAATTTGTTCTTTGTTTGACCAAGTTCAAGACTGCAGTACTAGTAAACAAATTCCTGCTGAACTCCTCTTAGAGATTTTCCACGTTTTGACTGCTTATTATTTTTTTACAATTATGTACTAGTACAATGCAATTATGTATCATGTATAATGTATTTGATAGAGACATGTGCAATTAGGTGAGGTTGATTAATGTGGCACTTAGTGATTGAGACGAAAATCATTGATGTACATGTACGATGCCAACACCAGGCTCATTCTTGTATTTAATAAAAAAAAAGTCTTCTTCCAAAAACTGGACTCGTGTGTTCTTAGTTTGTTAACGTCTTAATCAACATAAGCAACTTCATAATTTGTTGTCCAATTGTTTTAACAGCTGAGAGCCAGTGTCTTGTCAAGAACTGCACGCCGAGTGGCATTGCATCTTGTGCCGTCATCAACAGTGTCGAGACCTGTCTGTGTGCTGATGGGTACGAGGCCAACGACACCATGTGTGTTGGTGAGTATGGATTGTGTTTCTTACAGGATACCTGCACTTAACCAGAATCACTGTTGTTTGTTTATCTTGACCACAAAGTTGTCACCAGCAGTTGCGAATTTACTGCGGATTTGGGGACGACAAATCTTCGAAAACTAAAGCGTTTGTCAGGGAAATGAGTTTTCTGAGAAGGGGGCGTGGCCATGGGCCATGATTACGTCATCAAAATTTGCATAAATTATTGTCACACAAAAAAAAATCAATTACCATACGTAACCCTAACAAGTATTTTTAAGATGTCCCCAAAGTCCTCAGACACACTACCATGCTACCTGAAACTAAACTCTGCAATGTGTATTTTCAGATGTGAATGAGTGCGCCACGATGTGCAAGGGGACCAACATGAAGTGCAACAACACGGTCGGCTCCTACATGTGCAGCTGTGCCGCAGGGTTCGTCGAAAAGACCGTGAACGGCAGCATGACTTGTGAGGGTGAGTCAGGAAATCTTTAATAACTGTTACAATATCCTGACTGATAGGCATTATATCGTACTACTTGTGTTGTGTTGACATCGACTCTATGGACTATGGCAAGTCTACAGGTAGTCAAAACTAAATATGTTTGGTCTTTTTCTATTCAAATTACATTTATATCTTTTTAATGGTGTTGTATTTTCAAATAAATTATTCAAATTAACTACAATGCGTTTTCAATAGATAAATACTACAAATCTTGACACTACCGTTCGTGCCCTGTCCAATGTATAATGGTACAGTCCAAAAAGTGGTCAGTTATTCTAATAAGCGACCACTTTTGAGGTTACGGCCTGATAACCAATGAGAAACGGAGCCTTCTGATTGATTGACGTCTCCTGGCTATATGATAATTAGCATTAATATATGCTATGAAATGATATCGTCTTCCCAAGACCCTTGCATTGTACATATAGCTAAGAACATTCACTGATGCTTGATGTGATTTGTGTTACAGAAACAAAGGCATTCAGCGGTTCTATCAGGATCACCAGCGTTTCCTTCACGCCTGACCTAGCCGACACGTCATCGGCTGCCTTCAAGACCCTGGCCGCTAGCGTGAAGTCTTCTGTAAGTGATGCATTCTCCACCGTGTACTAAACTAGTTCTATAGATTCAATATGTTTACCTTCGCAGAGTGCACAGTGCATTCTCCACTGTGTACTAAACTAGATCTATATTCATTATGTTTACCTTCACAGAAGAAAAACGTATTGTTTTTGCTGTGTTTCGTCTTCTGTTCCAAACACATAATGTCAATGACCTGGACCAGACGTCTGCCACCATGGTAATTGGTGGCGTAACAGACAACTTATGGTATTTGGTTACATTTTGTAGCAGGGCAGGTCGGAGAGGCTAGTCTCCATGTTATATATGAATGTGTTTGAGTAATGATGAATATAGCAGTTAGTTTGTTAGGCTAGACCATGTGAAGGTAAACATTGTGCATTTTCTTTGCAAATGTTACCTTTCTAGTTTCATGTGGTAGTTTGGGATGGCTCAAACTGAAGAAAAGGACTGCGCCCAACATATTCTAACTCTTCTGTCTTATTTTCTTAGCTGGACACGATGTACTCGTCCCAGCTGGGCGCTGCCTTCCAGAGCACGACGGTCACAGGATTCACCAACGGCAGCGTGGTGACGGCCTACACCGTCAACATGGTGTCCAACAGCACGGTGAACTCCACGTCCCTGGCAGCGGCCCTGCAGGCAGCCGTGCAGGCCGGAGGAGCTGGGGGATTCAGCTTTGATGCCAGCAGCATCACCGTTGCCGGTACGTTGATGCTGCAATATGCATTACGACATCATTGTTTAAAATTAAAACTTGTGTTCCGACACAAAGAATTGTTCTCATCTAGAGTTTCGGCCAGTCACTCTGGTCTTCCTCAGTAGACTGACCAAGTGAGGCTTTTCATGTGGCATTTCTGAAGTCTGACGTTAACACTGGGTCAAAGGTATCTGGTAGACGATGTCAGCCCCCGTCGCGGTTGAGTGATGGGTGAAGGTCCCTGATGTAAATAGCCTCTTTAACCCTCTCAGGAAGTAGTCTCAGTACACAGGGAGTTCAACATCTTTTTGAGACTTGTAGAAAGCAAGAGAATGCCATATATACACTAAATGGCGAAAGCTTCATGTAGCCCACATCATTCCTTTACAATTAATGATGGTTGGTAGAGAGGACATGTCAATACTTTTGTCTTGTGTTATGCGTGGTTATAATCATAATAGATCGCAGTCTATTGTGACCTGGCTTTTTGTTCAAAATGTACATTTTAGCAACTTATCACTCATTTTTGATTGGTTTTCTTCAGATATCGACGAGTGTGCCGGTGAGAATAGCTGCCACGCCCAGGCCACGTGTACTAACACGGAGGGCTCCTACACGTGCACGTGCAACAACGGCTACACGGATAACTCTGCTACTGGAGCAAAGGCAGGGTCTAGTTGTGAAGGTATGTATCCCAGCATATGTTTTTGTTAATTCCTTTGTTAATACTTTTCTTCATATTTTTTTCATCGTGAGCTTTTGTAAATTTCTCAGGACACATTTTAAAGCCTTTACCACCACATGTATATTTACCATTTTTATTTTAAAAAAGTATCATTTATGTTGGATAGTAATCCTAAACAACGCAACAGCACGATGCTTGCTATCATGACATTCGCAGTAGTTATTCCTTCTCTGCAATCAATCAATTCATTCCATCTTTTCTTCTTTTTTCTTATAAGAAACCACTTCTGTAGCAAGGTATATCCGAGGTCAGACAACTTCCTCCTTGATGAAATGGTTTCTTATTTTCTTTCACGCTTCTCATTTTTCTTCATTCTTTTTCGTATTTTTGCTTCTCACTCTTCTCTTCTCTTCGTCCCATCTGCTTTCTATCCACGTTTGTTCTAGTACTTTTATATTATGGTTTGATTGACATATGTTTTGATGTCTGTTGTTGCAGCTACACAAACAGAGGAAGCCTCAAATAGCCAGACACTGGCCATCGCGCTGGGAGTGACGTTTGGTATCCTCGGCCTTGCGATCATTATGGCCATCATTGTGATGGTAGCCCTGAAGAGCAAGAAGGTGAGACCGAATTTCAATATGTATTAGCTGTCATAGTTTACCGTGTAGAAGCGCCACCTGGCGATACTTGATGGAACTGCGAATATTATCAGAGCAGGATTTCTTTCATTTAGTACCGTACATGTGTCTGTGACATAGGGGCTTGCCACAATCTTGCTCTGTATTCTATATTACTCAGAATAAACACTTAAAAGAATATTATTATGAAAGTTCAGCTGTGTTGGTTAAGTAATTATAGTAAAACGTTGAACTTTATTCCAACACACAATTTACAGAGAGATATAAACTTCCTGGCACTTTTGATCAATTGCTTAAGTCACGTGTCAGTAAAGTCTCGTGTGAATAAGGTCACGTGTTTGTAAACCGTAACTCTCGCGAGATTACGTTGTGAAGTGATTGGTCATTAATTATCCTGACGAAGGCGACAGTGATCGCTGAAAATTTGGTCTCTTTGTAAATTGTGTGTTGATTTAAAAGAATATTTCAACCACATAAAACTATTCTACTTTTTCATGCATTTACAATTGAAATCCCTAATCACTCTGATATGTGTGTACTTACAATTTCCCTATTTCATTTCACAGGGCACAGCAACGATCAACCCAGAAGAGTAACCATCGAAACAAGACAGACTTCTCTGATACCAAAGGGATGCAAGTCTTCTCACAAAATACAATCATTTGCCGGGTTTTAAATTATTTTTTTGAGAAATGAGATTTAAAAATTTTGAGATCTAAAAATGTATATTAGCAAAGACAAGTATTTGTGATTACAAATTAGATTTACTATCTATACAGAATAGACTGCCATGTAGTGCAGTCAGTTGGTTGTTTTAGGTTATACCAGCTTTTATAATTATTGCCTAGAGGGACTACCTTACTGTGGACGGCCTTATACCAAACTATCTAGAGCAGTTGTCAAGCAACTAGGACTCAGTGCCAGCTTCTTAGTTTTCTACAAGTTTCGGAGGAAAGATCCTACTATTAGGCAGATATCCTGATTTAAACCGAACGAGTGGATTCTGTGAATCTTGACTGATGATGAAACCACTACTATTAGGTGCAAACCATGGGCCGAAAATGGAATCCAGTGAATCCGAATCATGTATCGAACCGTACACAATTCACAAAATGTTATATCAAGGATTGTGAGCCCTTTGGATAATACTTCAAAATTGCAAGCCTTATTTTTTAACAAGGAAGCATGTTACTGACGATCGTTGCTATCTCTAGGATTCAACTGCGTAAGGTTAGGGGAAAGTATATGGAATTGTTCCACACAATTGTATCACGCAGGGAAACTGTTCTGATGACAAGGCAGTGATTATAAAAGTAATTTATCAACCTGAACAGCCCACGGATATACTAGACCTCGTAAGTGCCATAATTTGCATATTCGTGACATCTTCGTGCCACTGTTGTAACAATGAGTCCGTCCCGTTAGAAGTAGAAGTCACAAAAATGTAGCACTGAAAGATTTTTAAAAGTATCAATTCCAAGTCATGAAAACGCGGTTAAGTCTTCAATCTTGAACATCGTACAAAAATTGAATATGAGTTATTACTAGTGTATCAAATATCTGTCGACTGTGCAGTTAAGAATTCTAGGAAAGCTCAACAATAAGTAATATGTATTATAGTTTGTAAATATTAATGCTGATTGTGTGTGATTCCTAATGGATGATACAGTGTGAAGCTATTGTTTTTTATCATAAATAAGCCATTGAAAATTATTCAATGTGTGTGGTTTGCAAGTGTATCCACCGCCAATTCATATTTTTTGTAAGAATGGCGGAAGAGATATTACGATGTGTTTGACATAAATAGCAACGTTTGCACAATGTCATACAAAACTTCCATATGGTATATTGCTGCGTAAGATATAAATAAGCTTAAGCACAGTGCAATTTTGTTCAACAGAGTTCTGCTACTTGTTTAGGGAAATGTGTGGAATATTGAATCTGGAGAAAGATGTGGGTGTACAAAATTCAAGGTGATACTTTTCTAATAAAGCTTCAAAATAAAATAGCATTTGTTTGTCTTTTGTTCATTCAGTAAGTATGTTCTAATTCACCTCGAAGTAGAAAAGGTAC